CACACTTTCACACAAATATTTCACACAGAAAATTATCGATACCAGTTTTAGGCGTCACATTCTAAAAAAAAAAAAAAAATCCAAAGAGAAAATAATCTAGACCTTTTGTAGGTCAAGGTCAAGCGTTTACTGTCAAAGTCACAGCTACATAAAGTAAAATATGGCATAATCGAATTTCACAAAATAAAACACATATTTCTTCACTCTATAATTTACACTGCGCAAGGTTCACCGCTATCACATAAATATCATTTCACGTTTTTGTTCCGAAATATGATATTCATTTTTTTCTTTCGGTGACCGAAATATGTGAAAGTACCGTTATTTGTTTTCCATTTTCATATTTAAATCTCGTTATTTCAGGGCGAAACGTCGAAAGGACGAGAGAAAATTTAATCGCATCCTTTCGGAACGATGTGGCAGAAACCATCGCTCTTTAAGTTGTCACGGGCAGGAAGATAATTTTCCGTGTTTATATTTAATTGGTGTCCATGATGTATGTAGTTAGAAGTTAGGTACACCCAGGTGTATTTACTTGTAAATTCAGGATTCAATTGTCTCCTTGACACTCGATACAAGATATAACGTCATATATACAGGATATATGTACATAATGATATATTGATTTCAAGAAGAAGGTTTGTCTTGATTTTCTTGTTACAGTCTGGAAATCTCTAAGTTTTTTACAATTAATAAGGGCGGATATTAATTCAGTTTGTTTGTTCAATTATATGTGTGTCTCTGCTTTGTTTTTGTTGACTGGTTATGCACGAATGGTAGATAAATAAAAAAAATCTGATATCTACATTTGATAACAACGATATAAAAATGATAATAAAAACGTAGACACATCGTAATTATTCAATCGAACGGCCATGTCATATTAGAAGTAGTAGATGGCGCCACCTAAGCGCCATTGACAACGCGAACAGTAACAAAACAGTTGCAAGAACAAATAATTGAATATAGTCTTTTATCTACTTTTTACAAATGCATATATCGTGTAATATAACATTTATATGTTGAACTCTTGCTTGTCTCTTCACATTTAAACTACGCGTATGAAATTCTAGTGATGTAATAAACGTTGCACGTTTATAACCGAAGAAGAAATGACAAGCTTACTCGCTATACGTAAATATCAGTAGATGTAAAACTCGAGGTTGGTAAGCTTCACTCAGAAACTACAATACAAAAAGTGTAAATATTTAACGTTATACCAATGATCTCGATGGGTCTTTATGTTTGTTCTGTTACCTTAAACTTGACTGATTTTTCTATAATTATGTACAAATATATGTACTACAGTTATTAGCCTCCATGACTTTTTGATCATGTTTTAAATATTTTAAGTCAGTATTATGGTAAAACAAATGCTAACTTCATATAGTTGTTTTAAATGACTGTGTCTAAAAATAGATTGATCGCTAATAAATCGATAAATCAAACTAATTCCATAACTGCTTTTTAATGTCTGTCATACATTTCTAGTAAAAATCTATTGTTCTGTCATTCAGACTTTACACTGGTAAACAACGCAGGAATGGATTACATGTACAGGAGTTTGAGGATCTGCCAACTTCTGTGCACTTGGTTTAAAAAGGGAGGAGCAGGCAGACAGATGAACGTAAATTATACTACTCCAGTTGTCACGTAGACAGCGCTAACGACAGGAAGACCGACCCCATGGGGTGGGTGTTTCTATTGAATGAATCTTTGTGTTCCGGCAGTTATACCCAAAATATCATTCGTCAGTTGGGGATATCTCGATATTATAGACAGAATTGAAAATATCTCGCCCAAACATCAGATTGACCATTGAGCTACAGCCTGTGTGTTCCTATCTCAACACACGTCTATATTTCTGTTTCTAAAGGAAACGGGGGGACAGACGGTACAAGTGATGTAACATGTATTATTGAATTAAAATTGTAAAACGTGAAGTATCCCAGATGTGGGGAGTGTCGTTGAGGATAGAGGTTCCGCCCCCTTTCCAAGGAAGTTTTGTTTTCTGGAAAACACTATATAAACTAAAGTCAGTTATCAAGGCACAAATAGTTCGTTTTATTAATCATCTTAAGATTGTGAAATAATTTCTACTTTTACACGTTCTTTTATTGACTGAACTGCAGTTTTGGAAGAAATTTAAACATACATACATTTGTGCATGTTTTCCACAAAATTTCCCAAGCACGTGTTTATACATATTATGATATTATACCGATATCAACCCCGAGTAAAAGAAAAGAAAAAAAATATATATAAACTAAAAAAATAGAGTGCTCCCTCAGTTTTCAGTATATACATGTTTACTCATGTCATGTTGTTTCAAAACCACAAAAGAAAACATGTACACTTAAAATGTAAATATCGATTACATTTACAATCACCAGAGTATACTGTTTGTCAGTGATGTATTGATTCTGGTGTACTGGCTCATCATAAAGCGTATTATAAAACTCCATTTCTGTCTAGAAAGAGGGGTTTTGTTTGCATAAAAATCCAAGAAGCGCTCTTCTCGGATAGAATAAATTATTGACAATGTACCTGTTATTTGGAAATAAAACCGGTTTTATACACTGTATGATGCATTATTTGTACAACTATTGTTATGACGTCACCACTTCATAATTGTCCAAAACCGGATCTGTGTTTGTTGAAAAATTTGTAATAAGCGACGTTCCTATACCACCTTGTATGTGAGACGACATTAACGAACTTGATGCACTACAACACGAGTACAAGAAAATCTATATTTTCTGTTTAATAAAAAGCACCATTACAAACAATCGTAAACAGTAAAATGCACGCGCACCCCAGGTGCTGCTTCATGTCAGCACTGTATTTCGAGAGATTTCGAAACTGGAGTCAGGTTTTTACGTGGATAATCATTTGTATAAGATCTCCGTTTTTCCTCGCTGTGTTATGTTCTGAAAGAATTACGTGTTTAATTTGTCGAAATATCTTCGCAAAAAATCTGGTATTTATCTAAATACCAACCACAACATTGAGCGTATTTATAAACCAATCGCCATTCTGAAGCTGTATTAATCCTGAATGTGCATACTAATGTGTGATATAATCAAACAAGTATGGGCAACCGGTTGGAAGACATCACATCTTGGATTCCTAAAAGAAAAAAAAAAAAAAAAAGAACGCGATTATCTGAATGTATGCCTATGTTCGATGCGCGTGATGTTCATTTCACTAATGTACATAATGATTTACATAAACGAGAAAATGCCCCATAACCTTAATTTTGAGAAACATTTTTTTAAGCTAATGATACCAGTAATTTGTCTTGATCTTATACATTTAATGATGAAAGACGATTAACACTGAGATTTATCATTATAACGACGTTGAAATGATAAACCAGTTCATATCAAAATTTCGTATATATAGCGTTTGAAATGGTATTCTCTACTAGACTAAACGCTGATTTATCAGCGTGTGATCAGGATATCTGTTGACAGGTTGGCGTTATCAGAAACATCATATGTGTGAAGTTGTACCAATCCTGAATGAAGTCGCTTATGTTTAAGTGCAGTTCCGGGAGAGCAAAAAGGAGGACGGAAGTATTATGTTTGAGATCAAGACTTGTCAATCTATGTCAAACGGAAGTCAGGGCATATTTCGAAGGAATTACATTCTATTTGAGGACAAGGAACTCTTTCTCAAACGCAACCAGAGCATAATCGGACAGAAGTGTATTCTGTTTGAGAACAGCAATTGAAATCCGCGCAGGTCTGGAAGTACCTTATGTTTGAGGACAGGGATCGAACTCTTTGTCAGACGGAAGTTAGAGCGTAGTCAAACATAGTCAAAAGTACCTTCTCTTTGAGGACAGGGATCGAACTCTTTGTCAGACGAAAGTCAGAGCGTTGTCAAACGTATCCGGAAGTACCTTTTTTATATATTTTTTAGGATAAGCCGGAATGTTTTGTTAGTGACGGAAGTCGGTTTTTTTTTAAGTGTTTGTCACAAAGAAGAATATCCTACTTGAGGACAGAAACATATTTAACCATTTGTCTTATGAAATATGTTATGGATGAGGACAGAGGCGCTTTGGAACTATATATCAATTAAATATAAGTAAGACTTTCATAGATAAAGTTTATGACATCCCCCTGATAAGTGACGTGTCGCTACCCGTCATCATGGCATTCATAACGTCAAAGGGGTTTTTATGGTAACTCTATTCGATTACGAAACAGGAACTGTTTTGTGAGTAAACTTTGGGGGCGGCGAAATTTATTTATAGAATTATTGATAATAAACATGTAATATCTATCATTTTCAAGTTGAATGGATTTGCCATCTCATAAAACACGTATAAAAATGCATTGTGCTGTCATGTGCATTTCCTGACGAGATGTTGTTATCAGTTCACCCTGGACACACACAAAACTTGTTTCCCGAAGCCTCAACAAATTTAATTGGTTAGACAGCTACTTGAACCATACAGCAGCTTGTTTGATCTGCTAAAACAATTTAGGGTTAAGTCAAAACGACTTTGTAAACGTACGTTTCAGGCGAACCTGTCCTTGAGAACGCGCATGAGTGAGCGATGGTAACAGGTTGAAAATAGCTCAGGACCCCGCCGGCCATATCTAAACGCTGTTTCCGTTCTGCCGACGGAAACATCTCCCCTCCTTTCTCCCCTCCGAGGGCATTGGAATTCTCATTACAAGAGTCTTAGTCGAGGTTTAGGTAATTAGTAGGATTACATACAACATTCTCTGATCGGTTTAAATGTCAAATCCATTCCCCTATCTCAAAAAGAGGGATACAGGCAGGTGCGTGTGTGTGTTCTATTCCTGGTTGCGCGCGTTCTGCACGACTGTAAGTGGGATTCCGTGATAAGGACTTAAGTATCTATACAGCGAGGGTTCCTATTTAAACCCCGTGACGGGGAGCCGGACGATTACTGCATCGTATGCAGCGATAACTTAACACAAAAATTACATCAATTCTAAAACATCTTAAAATTATTCAAAATGGCGATGTTCCGGAAATTGCATGTTCATAGGCGTAAGGAAAGTATGATTCCGGATACTTGTCCACTGCATGGAGGTCAAATGACCATGTTCTGTGTCACATGTGATGTCACATGCTGTCTGCTTTGTCTTGACGAGACACACCACGCCCACTCCGTAACAGATAAAGACACGGCAAAGGAAAACAAAATGGCAGCCGTCACAAGCATGATACAACGCATCCAGGGGTCACTGGCGCCGGACATAAAGAAGAAAATGGAAGCTCTCCGGGAAGGGAGGCGGAAAAATAAGAGGGATTTCAAAGACCTCGTGAACAAGATTCTCGATCGTGGTGATGATCTCAGATTAGAGATAGATGACATAGTGAACGAATATGTCGATGAATGCGAGGCAATGCGGAAACGGAACGACGAAATTTTAACAGAGATTATCAAATCTTATGAGAAAAGCGAGAAGGACATAAACGGCTACATGTCTGTTTTTCTGGACGCTACTTCTTCCGGTCAACTATCAAAACTGACAGAAGCAGTGAGAATCTGCAATGACAGTGTTGAGCAAGCGCTTCCGAAGCGACAGAAAACTAAACTGTTTCTACCAAAGTTTGTGAAAGGAGACATTAGCAATACAGAGTTAAGGAAAAACATTGGAAAGCTTGAACTGCCATCGAAAACGAAGCAGGAAAATAGATATCATTTATTGTCCGAGTTTGTTCATAAAACACCGTTTCAGTTGCGTTCACTGCGGGAAAATGGATTCAATTCTATATGGATCGGCTGCTGGGATAATATTGTTCATTTGACAGACGGGAGAGGGAAGGTGTTACGCTCTGTTACGTGTGGGGTAACGGTGATGGACATTTGTGTCGGGAGAGATAATCGATTATGGCTGGTTTGTGAAGACAGCAGTGTAAGGTGTGTCGTTGAAGGCGGCGTCACTTCCGGTACTGTGGACGCACCCGTTGTAACTGTGAATGGGCGTAATGCGGTAGTCCCTAGTGATGAAGTTGCACGTGCAGTGTTCCACACAGAGTGGACACCGTACTCTGTCTGTATGAATACGGACAACCTGTTATATATTACAATGTCTATGTGTACCATCACCAACAGCCATGTCGGACGGCTGGCGAGGTTCCGTACAAACGGCACCATGGTGGACCAAACAGAGAAGGACTCTAAAGGACAGCAGTTATTTGCGAAGCCTCAGAGATTAGCTATCAGCAAGAAATCAGCACTACTGGCTGTAGTCGATTTTACTCAGGACACAGTCGTCTTGAACAACGACTTGAGCTTCCGGTTTCGGTATGTTGATGACAAAAATGGATTTAGTCCATGTGACGTCACATTTGACCTCGATGAAAATATTTTGATATGTGATTCGAGTTCCAGAAGTGTTGTGATGGTTGATACAGCCGGAGTTCTGAAACGGCGCGTGCTTGAGTTTGATGGAATAACACCAATTGTCCTGTCGTGTGATGCGGCAGGTAAAGTGTGGGTCGGTCTAGAGGATAAGAGAATTTTGGTGTTCCAACATCGGACCCCAGACTGATTACGGTGGTAACTTCCGGTATGACTTCGCGGTCCGGAGTAAATTGCCGATGCATTGCACTATTTACATCATGTGTCTTTGTATATAATTTTACGTAGTAAAAAGCTAGCGTAACGTGTATCGTATATTAGTGACAGTCGCATATCCGGAACGGAAGGAACAATTTTTATTATTGGAGTGTGGTAATGTCAAATTTTCTATTGAACTGGAGCCATTACATACCTGGTTTATATTTTGTGATACTGACCTCTGATTCATTTTGTAACGTCTAGTTATTTGCTGATGACGTCAACGCTAAATTTGCGTCATCAGTATTAGTTGATTTTCTAAGTGTAATAGTGTAATAAAATTAACAGCACATTCATTGTTAATTTCATTTGTAATCAGAGGCGTCGGTTACTGTTTTTTCACTTACCGTGAATATTGATTTTTATTAACCTTCAGTTCGAGATGTTAACATCCACATGGACTTGACACGAATTCCCAATCCACGATCCATATATATATTAGAGAAACAAGGATTGTAATTCCCCCGATGAGAAAACTTTTCTTTTTTAAATGATGTAATGTCTACAACATACGAGACAAGACGCCATCAAAGGACACCTCGAACAGCTTTAAGACCTTGCTGTCAAGGACTGTAACCTTGCAGTAAATTGCACATAGATGTTTTTAACCAGTTTTTTATCGTTCACCAAGCACTCACTGAAGAAATAAAACGTTACTCTTAAATCTTCAATCCCGAGAATATGAAATAACACCTTTGAAAATATGTTCACTTTTCTAATCTCAGGAGTCAAAACCTTTGTCACCATAATACCTATATATAAACCATGGGTTTGGAATTTATGCCAAGTCCCTGTGACAAAATCCACTCCATGGCGGTAATAAATATCGGAATCCAACTCCGCCAGATAACATTGTATTTTATCAGTGAACACGAACGAAAATTGTATGTATTATTCTATAACAGTGGATCTAGAATATCCAGGTACGCTCGCATGGTCGTTTCCATATAAAGGTGTCATTTATAAGACTATAAATGACATTATTTACATGATCATTGTGTCTATTATGATAAGTATCTAATTTTCTCAATAAACTAGTAAATGTTTAAAGTAAAGACTGATGCCATGCATGTCGATTTTACTTTGTTTCTGATCAACCATGACCAAGGAGATTGAGCTCACCATAAGATTACCAAATGTTACAATATACATGGTGGATAACATACTTACAATAATACATGGTGGACAATATACATCAATGTTACAAGGATACATGGTGGACAATATACATCATAGACAATGTTACAAGGATACATGGTGGACAATATACATCATAGACAAGGACAATATACATCATAGACAATGTTACAAGGATACATGGTGGACAATATACATCATAGACAATGTTACAAGGATACATGGTGGACAATATACATCATAGACAATGTTACAAGGATACACGATGGACAATATACATCAATGTTACAAGGATACATGGTGGACAATATACATCATAGTTACAAAGATACATTGTGAACAATATACATCATAGACAATGTTACAATGGAATTTATAACACATAATTTACCTTTTTAATCTAAAGAAATCATCTTTGTGTGTCACAATATTTCACATTTGATCGTTTCTTCCTCGAGGTGTACAATCACATACCTGTCAGGAAATCAAACCCAATAGAAAATGGTTCTCTGACCGTTATCTTTGTTTTTTACCTGGATACATTGAACGTCAACAGACAGTAAATTAACCATTGTCTCATGACTATTTTTATTAATTAAATCTATAACAAGCTCAGAAGTGACATTGTTGGTCAAGTTGTTTCAAAACTAGAAGGAAAGTATAAACATGAAGAAAATGGGAGGTTGAGTATAAAACCTTTAGTATGATGTAACATGTACTCATTTAGTCATATCACCTCTGTGCAGTTAGTGTGTACGGTGTCGAAATAGGTCCAAAATAAAACGGTAAACTACACGTAAGACATGTGGAGATGTGTATCATTATACTAACTCACCCTTTTGTAACGTATAAAAGGCAACAGGTCTTAACGACATATATAATTCTTATTATCCTTGCTACACACCCAACACTGTTGCTATCTTTATAATCATTAGACAAGTTCTGGTCGGTAGATGTTCTGTTGGAAGCTGTTCAACTGCTACGTCACAAAACTTTCACAGAAAGAATGTGGTTGTTCAGAAAGCCGAATGTACGACTTCCAGAAAACATCTTCGTCAATAAAATGTTACACCACCCTAAAGTACACATGGGACTCAGTTTAATCTGTGTTTATAGTATCGAATAGAAAAACTTACCGCATTTTGGCTAGAAAGGAAATGGGGAAAAACACGAAGTGTTATCGGTCATACAGAAGAGAACTAACATCTTAAACCTCATAAAATTTGACGGAGTTGTATATCCACTCTCCTTTAAATCGTTCCTCGTTTGACTTTTATCGCATTTTAATGGCAACAGAGCATCAACATCAATTGCAGTCGAACTGATTTAGACAAATGAGTTCAGGCGTTGACGTTTTACTTACATGTTGCACTTCAACACAATAGATTGATTTGTTCTGATGTGTATTTTGCACATTCCTTAACTCATTTGTGTGAAATCTTTGGTTTCACGGTCCACATTCGATTATTTTATTCAGACTAAAGAATTTTATTGTCTATCTCCATGTGTTAGAACTTATACAGTGTTAGAACGCACTATGTATGCTCTGTGTTGATACCTTATCACAAGATTTTAAAAAATGTGATTTAAATATCACACTTGGTAACAGAACACATTTTAAGGTGTAAATATAATAATTGCAGAAACGAGAATGGAACCATAATGCCACTAACAAGCATTATTAATGTCGATTTTTAATCTCCGGACGTGTCGAAGTTCTGTTAGAAGAGTTTTTCTCTGTCAGCATTCGAAAAAAAATATATATATATATATATTTGTATATCACGAAGTATTGAAGGTGGAGAAGCTCACCTATTTATAAATCGAAATAAGTTTATCATATCACTTATAACTAAGCCTTTCTTGTCTAGAAGTGATAGGCTGACCCTGTCTGAACCTGTAGCATGTTTGTGTTATTTTAGCGTATGATCGTTAATATATATCAATATATCATAGGACTTGGATTACAAAATGATAAAGGATGACTGATGTCTCCTACAGAGTTTTTGCGTCTTATTTGTGTTTGGGAGGCTCTCGGATTAGTTACATTTTTCACACATTATTTCCATCGCAAAATGCACGCTGAACGTGTTATGCACAAGTGAATGTCTCCTGTGCATTATTTAATTCAGCTGCACCATACAGCTGTTTTGTCTTTCTTTGGCACGTCAGTGGAAGTATAGATTAAGAAGGCGAGTTTGTATGTATAGGCAAATCATTAAATGCCAAAAACATTGAATATTAAAACAG